GTCTGTCCTTTTATTATTGGATATAAGTCCTTTGACAGATATATGCAAGTTGATCTTAGTTTGGGGTTCTTTAATGAACCTTGATATTTTTAATATACAATTTTACAGAACATCAGGTTTTTACAGCAACATGTAGATAGTATTATACAAGTCCCATACTCTATAAATGTCAACCATCATTGATAACTAACATGATTACAGCTCTAATAATTTTAAAATTTTCATTTTCAACGGCCAATTAATTGTGGGTCCTTTGCCTGGAACCTCATTGCATAGTCGTTTAGAAAGCTGCTTTATCTCAGCTTTCCTCAGAGGCAGTGTATCCAAGACACCTGGTCCCTTCCTGCATGGCAGATGGCAACAGCAGGAGATACAGTGGCCATTGTTTTACTTCCTTCTATATGAAGCATAAATTTGTTCTAGAGACAGAACAGGTCCAACTCCAAACATGTAAAGCAGAATGCAAAGGTGAATGCAAATTGTGGTCATCAGCCAGCTTGTTTGGCCATGTGGAAAATATGGAAATAGTTGCTACACATTGCACAAAACATCTGTTGAAATAAGGCTTTCAATTTGAATGCTTCAAGATACACTGTTTCTAAAACCCAAGATTGCCTGGTGAGCAAGCAGATGGGCAATTTAGACAATCTTACACTAACTCATCATTGCTTCTGAAATACAGCTTCATTGGCAATTCTAAGACAGTATTCTGAATTTGTATTGTGGAGATACACAACCTTCAGAAACATGATGGGCACTTCTTATAGCTTTGGTTGCTATTGTTTAGATGTATGTCAGAGGGAAGACAGGGCCTTCTTTCTTAATACAGTTAAGAGAGAATATTTTTTAAAACTTCATCTTTATCAGAGTCATAAGTATTAAGAAATAAATTTTTAATTACTTTAATAGGTTAGAAATACTTCCCTCCCCATCCCGAGACAGAGTCTTGCTCTGTCAATCCAGAGCTGGAGTGCAATGGTGCAATCTCGGCTCACTCCACGTCCACCTCCCAAGTTCAAGCAATTCTCCTGCCTCAACCTCCAGAGTAGCTGGGATTATAGGTGTACACTACCATGCCTGGCTAACTTTTTTGTATTTTTTTTTTTTTTTTTTTTTTTTTGTGAGACGGAGTTTCCCTCTTGTTACCCAGGCTGGAGTGCAATGGCGTGACCTCAGCTCACCGCAATCTCTGCCCACTGGGTTCAGGCAATTCTCCTGCCTCAGCCTCCCGAGTAGCTGGGATTACAGGCATGCGCCACCATGCCCAGCTAATTTTTTGTATTTTTAGTAGAGACGGGGTTTCACCATGTTGACCAGGATGGCCTCGATCTCTTGACCTTGTGATCCGCCCGCCTCGGCCTCCCAAAGTGCTGGGATTACAGGCTTGAGCCACCGCGCCCGGCACTTTTTTGTATTTTTAGTAGAGATCGAGTTTTACCCTGTTGGCCAGACTGGTCTCCAACTCCTGACCTCATGATCCACCTGCCTCATCCTCCCAAAATGCTGGGATTATAGGTGTGAGCCATGCGCAGCCTAAAAATACTTATTTAAAAATAAGTTTTCCTTCCTATGTGAAGGAGATGTTTAAAAACAAACATCTGTTTTGCTTTTACTTGGCCTAGTAACACTATGTCAAGCTTGACTGAGAAATAAGTTATTTTTGCCAAAAAGTCCTATAAAATAAAAAATTTACATGGGTAATTTTCTATATAATTGAAGCTTTTAGAGCCTTTTTTCCTGAAAATTTTTTAAAAATTAGATTATGTACTTCTTTTCATTAGCATTATGCTCATGACTCAGAATTTCTTCAGGCTATTTAGATATAAAGCTGTTGGTTTATAAAATAAGAAGCACCAGATTTCTATGTGTTTTGGATACCAGAGTATCTGCTGTTAATAATTTTCCTGGCTGTTAGTGATTAAAAAAATAGCGATAGCTATTAATATGCTTCCATCTAGCAGAGCTCCTTATTCTCGTTTAAGTTTTGCTTTTAATCTTCTGTGGGCTGAGAAAACATCAAACTGGTGAGAATTATGTATATATCCAGAGCCCACTGCCTGAGTTTAAGTGTGAGATTTGCCACGTGAATAAAGGGCATGAATATCAGTATCTGTTCTAGTTTTCCAAAAGATTTGGGTTTATTTTCTGGTTTTGGTTATGTTTCAGAGAGTAGGATTTGTCAAATAAATAATATGCTATATGTACATCAAAGAGCTAGTTAAATATTAGGTACTTTCCCCCACTTCCATTATTCCAGGCATGAGACCTTTGGAAGTTACTAGGAAGCAGATTTTACTTAAGCAGAAAAATAAATATTTTTAGTTTCACAGAATGATACCCTGAATTAAGCTCTGTTCCATGAGTCTAATCTTAGCTCCATGACTTACCAGTTACCTTTTCAATCCTCTCCACATCAGTGTTCTCATGATCTGAGATCTACTTGCAGAGTTCTGGGATCCGCGGGCTGTAATTTGAGGGCTCAAGCAGAGGCTTAATAGAGAGGGAATTTCTTTTTTTATTATTTTTTATTGTACTTTAGGTTCTGGGGACCATATGCAGATCATACAGGATTGTTGCATAGGTACATACATGGCAAGGTGGTTTGCTGCCTCCATCCCCCCATCACCTATACCTGGCATTTCTCCCCACATTATCTTTCCCCACCCTCCCCAACCCCCGCTTTCCCTCCCCTAGCTTTCCTAACAGACCCCAGTGTGTGATGCTCCCCTCCGTGTGTCCACATGTTCTCATAGTTCAACACCCGCCTATGAGTGAGAACTTGTGGAGAAAGGATTTCTTCATCAGTGGGAGGTCAGACTGAATGACCTCTAAGATGTATTCTTTTGTTTGTTTGTTTGTTTTTGAAAGGGAGTCTCACTCTGTTCCCAAGCTGCAGTGCAATGGCACAATATCGGCTCACTGCAACCTCGACCTCCCAGGTTCAAGTGATTGTCCTGCCTCAACGTCCTGAGTAGCTGGGATTACAGGTGCATACCTGCACACCCAGTTAATTTTCATATATATATACATTTTAGTAGAGATGTGTTTTGCCATGTTGGCCAGGCTAGTCTCAAACTACTGGCCTGAAATGATCGGTCCACCTTGGCCTCTCAAAGAGCTGGGATTACAGGCATGAGCCACTGCAAGTGTATTCTTATTTTAAATTAGGTAATTCTTGACTCACTTCTAGAAGACAATTCACCTGGATCTATCAAAGTAAAATATAAATACCCAAGGGAGATAATGGCTTATCTGTTCTAGCCTACTTTTCCATTTTTCCCAAGTCATAAGTTGAGAGTGCCATTCTTGGAAGTCATTGTTTTCCCTTTCCTTTTCCCCAGGCCCCAAATTTAAAGCCATTAAAAGTTTATGAAGCAATGAAATGAATTAAGGAAGACAAGTTTAAATATGATCATATTGGGTGTGGTGGCTCATGCCTGTAATCCCAGCACTGTGGGAGGCTGGGGCTGGTGGATCACCTGAACTCAGGAGTTTGAGACCAGTCTGAACAACATGGTGAAACCTGCCTCTACAAAAAGTACCAAAATTAGCTTGGTGTGGTGGTGTGTGCCTGTAATCACAGCTACTTGGGAGGCTAAGGCAGGAAGGTGGCTTCAGCCCAGGAGGCGGAGGTTGCAGGGAGGTGAGATCATGCCACTGCACTCTCATCTGGACAACAGAGCCAGACCCTGTCTCAAAAAAGGAAAAAAAAAAAAAAAAGAATTATAAAAGTGGTTGTATTGAGCTGGTTATGAATTCTCTTTGTAGCAACAGTTGAGTTACTTCGAAAGAAGTTAATTGAAGGGGAACACCATGGCTTGCTGTTTCAGGTAAAGTGTCTGTGATACGTGTTCACTTACTGTGGAGGAAATTATTCAGTTCATGTAAGATTTTGAAGCTAATGTAGAATATACGATGACTTCAATCATTAAGTTAAATAACCCATTTACAAGAAAATGTTTTGGTGGACTTTGTTCTCTTATGTGCTTAAAGCATTTAGCAGAACAAGAAAGGAGATCTTACATTAGTGAGTGGCTACTGAAAATCCCTTCTAAAGAGGAAGTATTTCAGAATTTTCTTTGCCCACCACTATATATATCTATTAGTAAAGAGCCAGTTTTTTTCAGTCTTGGGCACCTCCTTTCTGATAGTAAGAGCATATTATTTAATTTATAATATGCTGAAATTTTGAGTATTCTTGAATAGGTTTGATGGTTACTATCTCTTTTTTCTATCTCATATTTGAATTAAACTTTCTGTTTCTCTCTGTATGGGTCATCTCAAGATATCTCTGGTAGCGTTAAGTGTATTTCTTTCCCTTATGATACTTGGTGAACCTACTTTTTGTTCAGAAATGAAGAACATAAGGGAACAGCAAGGTTGGCACTAGAGGAAGATGATGGAGGAGGAAAGAAAGAAGGGTGGTATTTGCATGTATCTGTTTCCAGGACATCATGCAGACACATCTGTTAAAGCAGGAAGAAAAAAATCGTGGAAGATTAAGCTAGGCAGAATGCCTAAAAAGCTCTCTGCAATAAGTTGAGCTAGAAAAACCTCCATATCTAAAGATGTTTTAATCATCTCAAGAACACCAACAACATTTTCTGTTACAATATAAATACGATAGATGTGAATCTACCTCTTGGATTAAGGCCATAGTTTTTATAGCTATAAAATGTTCACAGACACCATTTTCATTACTCTGAGTTACATCTCTAACAAGCTTCTTTAGCCTCTGCCTGAAGATATCAATGACAAAGCCATTCAGTTTCTTGTTCCTGATCTTCAGATTTCATTCCTAGGTCAAGTAATGGGTAAAATACAATGGGAAGTTTACAATTACAAAGGTGTTCCAATGGAGTAGAATACAAGATAAAGAACCTGTCAGTTTCACCCACTTTAGGCTGTGTCATATCTTCTGTTAAGTCTAATGTATTTGGGGGTCTTTGACCTTTTCATCATTCTGTCTTTGAATATACTCTAACATTTTCTCTTGACAGAGCTTTTTAGATGAGGAATTTCCTCACTATGATTCCCTCTCCTGCAAAAATGCAATTCAACAGCCTCTTCAAGAAAAACTGGTAATTGCAAGCTTTTTGAAATTATTTAGGTAATAATTGTGAATCAATAACTATCCTGTACTAAAAAGCTAAGTCCAGTCTGTATTAGGAGCCTTCAAACTGTAAACTATGTTGCTTTTATCAAGAGATTATCAAATGAGGCAACAGATAACTATTTTCGTAAATGTACATATACACATACACAAACCTGGTTGGTTCTTTGTTGCCCAGGCTAGAGTGCAGTGGCTTGATCTCGACTCACTGCAACCTCTGCCTCCTGGGTTCAAGAGATTCTCCTGCCTCAGCCTCCCAAGTAGCTGGGATTAGTCAGGTGCCACCACACGTGGCTGATTTTTGTATTTTTAGTAGATACGGGATTTCCCCATGTTGGCCAGGCTGGTGACCTCAAGTGGTCCACTCACCTTGGCCTTGCAAAGTGCTGGAATTACAGGTGTGAGCCGTCAGGCCTGGCCTGTTCTACGTTTTTTACTTGCAGCATCACAAAGAATTATGTAACAAAGTCTATTTCTCTATACCTCTTTCCTCAAAACCTTTGTTAGCATTCTGCTAGATTATTACATTGTGATTTTCAAATAAGAATAATAATTTACTCATATGTATACCTTTTGCTTAAACACTTGAAAGCTTCTTTACTTGACATTTATTTTCTTCTTGATCCCTCTCACAGGCTCATTTGAGACTAGTGATATTCTTTCTACCTTTAAAAATGGAGGTAGTAGATTATGAAATATAATATGTTACATTCCTTTAGGTGGCTAATAATAATTGGTTTTCTGTTCAGAAGCGGTGTTGCCACAAACTGTATGGTGGTCAAGAAGCAAGAATACATCAGACACCCCTGACCTTGAAACATACATGCTGGTATACGCCTCTGCTGGGTAAGCCCCTCTCCAATACCTGCTCAGACACAAGAAGGGGTAGAGTTTTTTTTTTTTTTTTTTGAAAGGGAAAATAAATAATTATTATTACATTTGTATAGGAAGAATTGTTGAATACTTGGATATTTATCACTGAATTCAGTTAATCAATATATATTTGAGTACCTACTCTGTGCAAGGCACCATATTATGCATGATAAAGAATAAGTCCTGGCCAGGCACAGTGGCTCGCGCCTGTAATCCAAGCACCTTGGTAGGCCACAGCGGGTGGATCACTTGAGCCCAGGAGTTCGAGACCAGCCTGGGCAGCATAGTGAGACCTCATCTCAAAAAAAAAAAAAAAAAAAGAGTAAATCCTAAAGTAGCTCACAGACTAGTAAGGAGACAAGACCTGGGCTCAGAGAAGTCAAAGATGATTCCATAGAAAAGGTTCAAGTTGAACTGGCCTTGGAAGATTAGTTGGCTTTAGAAAAGTGAAAAGCATCGAAAAGGTATTCTAATGGGTGAGAGTAACATGAGCAAACAACACACAAAAAAAAGAGAAGTAAGAATGCAGAAACCTTGGTGTTTGTAAAAGAGCCAAAGGTAGACAAGTCATTTTGAAAACAAAAGGATTCAGGTTGAGATACAGTAGAATAGACATTTGGAGAAGGAAAAGTGGGCTGTGGGTCAAATTGGTGAATTATTACTCAATGCCAAGAGAAAGAGCTTTATTCTAGGAAATGGTCAAAGTAGTGACATCTCTCAGCACAACATGGATGCATTTAAAAGCCAAAATTAATGTCTAGTTCTGAAATGACAAAATAAATGATTATCAAAATAAATTTAAGAAGGAATGAAGAGAAAAGTAGAGTGATTTATGGATCATTTAAAATTTGAGGAGGAAAAACTCCTATTATTACTAATGGAGCGTCTATTTTGTGTCAGGCAATATAGATTAGTGCTTTTAGAGATACTCACAGTAACTCATTAACCACCACCAAGAGTGGGAGTTTTTAAAGAATGCTTGCTGGCCAGGTGCGGTGGCTCACACCTGTAATCCCAGCACTTTGGGAAGCCAAGGTGGGCAGATCACTTGAGGTCAGGAGTTCGAGACCAGCCTGGCCAATATGATGAAACCCTGTCTCTACTAAAAATACAAAAATTAGTCAGGCATTGTGGCATATACCTATAGTCCCAGCTACTTGGGAAGCTGAGGCAGGAGAATCGCTTGGCCCCAGGAATTGGAGGTTGCAGTGAGCCATGACTGTACAGTCCAGCCTGGGTGTTGCAGCAAGACTCCATCTCAAAAAAAAAAAAAAAGAAAGAAAGAAAGTGCTTGCTATGTGCCAGATACAGTTCTATGCTCTTAACGTATCTATTAACTCATTTAATCCTCACCACATCCCTATGAGGTAGATGTTAATGTAATTACCATTCAAGAGATAAGGAAACAGAGGAACATTGAGTTAATAATTTGCCTAAGGTCATCTGTCACTTTATACATAAGCAAACTGAGGCTCAGAGTGGCTTAGTTACTTATTCAAGGTCACACAAATGGTATGTGGCAGAGCCAGGATCTAAACCAAAAATTTCTGATTGACTTTAAAGCCTATGTTTTTTCCTTTAAACTCTGCTGCTTCCTATACTCAGAAACACATATAACAAGACGGTTTTCCCTAATGAATGATTTGTGATCTCAACCTATATCCTCTATCACTCTTTGATGGGTTCTAATTATGATGCCTAATGCTTTTCTCTTCTGGAGGCTGCAAAGTTGTTCTGTAAAAGACCAAATAGTAAATATTTTAGTTTCTGCTGTAACTACTCAATTTTAGTGTTGTATCACACAAACAGCCATGGACAGCGTGTGAACAAATGGGTGCAGCCATGTTCCAGTAAAACTTAACTTTTTAATTTTTTGAGACAGGGTCTCAGCTTGTCACTTAGTGGTAGAAACACAGCTCATGGCAGCCTCAACCTCTCAGGCTCAAGTGATTCTCCTGCCTTATACCCCCAAGTAGCTGGGACTACAGGCACATGCCACCACATCCAGCTAATTTTTGTATTTTTTATAGAGATGGGATCTTGCCATGTTGCCCAGGCTGGTCTGAACTCTCGAGCTCAAGGGATCCACCTGCCTTGGCCTCCCAAAGTGCTGAGATTACAAGCATGAGTCACCACAGCTGGCCACAGTGAAACTTTACAAAATCAGGCAGCGGGCTGGATTTTTGCCTGCTGGCTATAGAGTGTTGTTAATCCCTCTAGCTGCTTAGTGGCAGAGGTTTTCTGGCCTCTCCTATACTTAAAAAAATTTTGAAATTATGATTTTTAATATTATCAGAACTAAAATTATTATTTTATATTTATATATATTAATATTGCTATCATTATTCCCAAACACTTTGTTAAAATTAAGCATTTGACATTTTCACCCCCTGTGACTAGGCATCAAGGGAGTTTATGTTAAAATGTTAATAGAAGTGGGTTAACTTACTTTTTCAGAATGGTTCAGTCTCTCAAGAGGGAAAGACTTCATGCTTCAATATAGTTTGAACCAGAAATTGGTCTCTATTTTGATTTTTTTTTTTTCTTTTCTACTGCAGATGCCTTATCTCTGGATAGTTTTACAGCATTTCCAACTCTGGAATCAACACCCTTCTCAGGTGTAGCCAACCGAATCCATGCTTTGTGTGAAAGGCCCACATACGGAGAAGTAAAGGACTGTGCTTTGGATGTAACAAGACAACACAAGTAGGTTGCGAGCAAAGTTTATTTACTCTACTCCTCATGGGTGAGCTAGTCACATTACCTTTTAATTGATTGGATTTTTATGACTTGAGATGACATCTTTATTGTGGAAGTTCTCTAACTTCCTGAAAATTTACAATTTCTCTCTCTCTCTCTCTTTTTTTTTTTTTTTTTTTTTTTTTTTTTGATGTAGAATCTTGCTCTCTTGCCCAGACTGGAGTGCAGTGATGCAATCTCAGCTCAGTGCAACCTTTGCCTCCCAATTTCAAGCAATTCTTATGTCTCAGCCTTCCAAGTAGCTGGGACTACAGATGCATACCCTCATGCCCAGCTAATTTTTGTCTTTTTAGTAGAGATGGGGTTTCACCATGTTGGCCAGGCTGGTCTCTTAATTCCTGGTCTCAAGTGATCCACCCTCCTTGACCTCCCAAAGGGCTGGAATTACAGGCATGAGCCACCACACCCAGCTGAAAATTTACAATTTTGAGATAAAGTTATTGATGTAGTTTTCTTGGAGTGTAGTCTTCTTGCTTTTCTTGAATTTCATGATATCCACTCTAATGCTTAAAAGACAAATTAGACAAAGATGTTTCTAATTTTTAGGAATACACCATAGACTGCTAAGTTAACATAGGTAGGTTTTGATCATCATTCTCTTTCTTTCATACTCAAGGTTAACACATCTTTGGGAACCTCTCCTTCTCCCTGCACACTACCCTCTTCCTCTTTAAGTACATAGACTAATCTTCCAATCTAAAGGAAAAGCACACTCACCAATGGAGTGTTTTTTCCTACTGTAGTCTCAAGGCCACCCTTCCGATACCAGATGTATGGGAGTTTTTTTCCCACACTCCAAGCAATTTTCCACACACCAATCACTTCTCCAGCAGAAATGAAATGGGCGTCTAGTAATTCAGTTCAATTCCAACATTATCTACCTATGAACAGCTTCAGATTCCACAGGTTAAGGGCTCAGTCCCACAAGGTTGGCCCCTACTTCAGACACCACTTACAAGTCCCAGACTGTGACCTGTGCTTCTGACCACCTCTCTATGAATTGGGGGTTCCCATGACCCCCTTCTTGGGTTCAAATAATTTGCTACAGTAGCTCACAGAACTTAGAGAAACACTTTACTTACATTTACTCACTTACTACAAAGTCTATTTTATTTATTATTTTATTTATTTTTTTGGAGGCAGGGCCTCACTCTGTCACCCAGACTAGAGTACAGTAGTGATTTGGGCTCACTACAACCTCGACTTCCTGGGCTCAGGTGACTCTCTCACCTCAGCCTTTTGAGTAGCTGAGACCACAGGTGCCCACCACCACACCCAGCTAATTTTTGTTTTGTTTTGTTTTGTTTTGTTTTGTTTTGTTTTCGTTTTGAGACAGAGTCTCACTCTCGTACCCAGGCTAGATTCGCAGTGGTGTGATCTCGGTTCACTGCAACTTCCGCCTCCCAGGTTCAAGTGATTCTTCTATCTCAGCCTCCCAAGTAGCTGGGATTACAGGCACATGCCATCCCACCAGGCTGGTTTTTGTATTTTTAATACAGACAACGTTTCGCCATGTTTGACAGGCTGATCTTGAACTCCTGACCTCAGGTGATCGGCCCACCTTGGCCTCCCAAAGTGCTTGGGTTACAGGTGTGAGCCACCGCACCCAGCCTTATATTTTTTGTAGAGACAAGGTTTCTCCATGTTGCCCAGGCTGGTCTTGAACTCCTGGACTTAAGTGATCCTCCCATTTCAGCCTCCCAACATGCTGAGATTACAGGCATGAGCCACTGTGCCAGGTGGCAAAGTCTATTTTAAAGGATACAAATGAACAGCCAGATGAAGAGGTATGTCAGAAAGGTTTGAAAATGTCTCAAGTACAGGAGGGTCTGTCTTTGTGGAGTTAGGGTGTGTCATCTTCCCCGCACATGGCTATGTTTCAATTCACCAAATCAGAAGCTTTCCAAGTGTTGTCCTTTAGGGTTTTTATGGAGGCCTTGCTAGACACAATTAATTAAATCATTGGCAATTGGTGATCGGCTCAGCCCCTCTCCCCTCCCAGGAGTTTGGTGGGTGAAGTTGAAAGTTTCAATCCTCTAACCGCAGATTGGTTCCCCTGGCAACCAGCCCCTCATCCTAAGGCTATCCAGAAGCCCACCAAGAGATACCTCTTTAGAACAGAAGATGCTCCTACTACCTAAGAAATTTCAGGAGATTCAGGAGCTCTGCATCGAACACACCTATCACTCAGGAAATTACAAAGTTCTTAGGCACTGTGTATCAGGAACCATGGTCAGAGACAAAAATGTAAGAATAAAGATTCCCCTAGCACCTCTGTCTACAAGGATTTTAGGAGTTCTGTCTCAGGAACTGGGGGGATAGAACAAAATATCAATGACATCCTGCTAAGTTAACTTAGGCAGGTTTTGATCCTATTTCTGTTTCTTTCATGTTCAAGGTTAACAAGCCTTTGGGAACCTATATCTGTCCCTGCCCCCATCCTCCTTTGGTGCTCATTTGCACCTGCCTTTTTAAGTGTACAGACTCACCTTCCTTAGAAAACATTCAGAAATGTCAGTGCAATTTGTGAGGACCTAATCTACCTCAATAAAATTTTCCTTCTATATTGAGGATGAGGAAGGCTGGCTTTGAATTGCAAATGCTTCATTTTCATTTTTGGCTGGATTCTCTGTTATTTGTAACCTCTGTCTGATGGAGGTAGGAACTCTCTTTCATAATGTCTTACTTAAACCATGAACTTAATTAGAAATTTGATGACATTGGGAGTGGGTGTAGGGAAGTGGGAACTATGTTATTGTTTAGTATCTGCTAAAATTTGCAGTTTTTCCACCTGAAGTAAATAACTCTCCTTTCTACTGCCAGGTGCCCAGGCCCCACAAGTGGCCCCAACCAAGGAACAAATCTCTCAGGCTGCATCAGGATGAATGATGAGCCGAGTATGGAAGTGAGTATTGGACTGGATTTTAGTTTCATTTTCAGCATTACCATATCCTGCTCTTCTTCTATTGGTATTCTTTTTCACTTTCTTTTTTTTATTTTTTAAGTATTATGGATATTTTTATAGCAAGTTTGAGTCTGCTATCCCAAAATTCAGATGCATAAGAAATAGCAACCTTAGATTGAAATCAAGAAATTAAAAATTATTTAATTTGATGGCTTTCTACCCTGTGTTTTGTATATACTGTGGATTATATAATCAAAAGGAGATTTCGATAAAGTGGGCTCAATTTCTGTTCGAGAGGCAGGCTGGTTTGGGACTTAAATTCACTAATGACTGACTGTAAGAAGCCTCAGATCCTGTTGATTCTCCAAGTATAGGGGTCAAGTCTGGATAATCTTTGAGGGGCTGGTACCCCTTTGTCAAAAAGACCACAAAGCTGGGCCATGCCCATGACTAGTCATGTACTAATTGGCAAATTTAGGTGTTAATGCCACTTTTCTACCCAAGAAGAGAATAACGCTAAATAACCTGAGAAAGTCAATTAGGTCATCATTGAGATGTGGTTGGATTGCCTTTCTCAGTCTGCAGTGTGAGCCTAGTGATCTCAATCAAATGGAGCAGGTAGTTCTGTTTCAGTCCATCATTATTCTTTCTTTTACTTTTTTTCTTTTTTTCTTTTTTTTCTTTTCTTTTTTTTTTTTTTTGAGATGGAGTCTTGCTCTTTCACCCAGTATGGAGTACAGTGGTGCAATCTCAGCTTACCGCAACCTCTGCCTTCTGGGTTCAAGCAATTTTCCTGCCTCAGCCACCTGAGTACTGCGACAACAGGCGCGCACTACCATGCTCAGCTAATTTTTTGTATTTTTAGTAGAGACGGGGTTTCACCGTGTTAGCCAGGATGGTCTCGATCTCCTGACCTCATGATCCACCTGCCTTGGCCTCCCAGAGTGCTGGGATTACAGGCATGAGCCACCACCCCTGGACTCTTTTATATTTTAATTGAGATATAACTCACCCACCAGACAATTCACTAATTTAAATTATTCACTTAAATGACTTTCAGTATATTCAAAGAGTTGTACAACCATCACCACGATCGATTTTAGAATACTTTGATCACCCCAGAAATAAACTGCATACCCATTGGTAGTCTCTCCCTATTTCCTCCTATCTCAAACCCCCAGCTCTAGGCAACCACTAATCTACTTTCTGTCCTAAAGATTTGCCTATTCTGTACATCCCATATAAAGGGAATCATACAATATGTGCTCTCCTGTGCCTGGCTTCTTTCAATTAGCATAAGGTTCTCAAGGTTCATCTATGTCATAGCATGATATCAGTACTTCATTCATTTTTATGGCTGAATAATATTCCATTGTGTAGATTCCACACCACATTTTGTTTCTCCATGCATCAGCAGATGGGTATTTGAGTTGTTTCTACTTTTCGGCTATTGCAAGTGACACTATTAAGAACATTAGTGTATCGGTTTTTGTGTAAATATGTTGTTTTTTTTTTTTTGAGACGGAGTTTTGCTCTTGTTACCCAGGCTGGAGTGCAATGGCATGATCTCGGCTCACCACAACCTCTGCCTCCTGGGTTCAGGCAATTCTCCTGCCTCAGCCTCTTGAGTAGCTGGGATTACAGGTACACACAACCATGCCCAGCTAATTTTTTGTATTTTTAGTAGAGACAGGGTTTCACCATGTTGACCAGGATGGTCTCGATCTCTTGACCTCATGATCCACCCGCCTCGGCCTCCCAAAGTTCTGAGATTACAGGCGTGAGCCACCGCGCCCGGCCATGTAAATATGTTTTTAATTCTTTTGAGTGTATTCCAGTGGCAGAACTACTGCATCAGATGGTAACTCTATGTTTAATGTTTTTGAGGAACTGCAGAAGAGACTTCCAGGGTGGCTATATCCTTTTACATTTCCAACAGCAGTGTATGAGTATTCCAGTTTCTCTGTATCCTCACTAAATACTTGCGTATTTTTTATTAAAGCCATCTCTGTGGGTGCAAAGTGATACCTCATTGTATTTTTTATTTGCATTTCTCTAATAATTAATAATGTTGAACATCTTTTCAGCTATATATTGGCCGTTTGTATAACTTCTTCAGAGATGTGTCTACTCAGATCCTTAGCTCGTTTTGAAGATGGGATTATATTTCTTTTTACTGTTGAATTGTACAAGTTGTTGTTATTCTTCCTGTTAAGTGTGTGTATGGCAGTTTTGTTGTTGTTGTTGTTGTTGGTCATAAATACATGTCTGGTTGAGTAGCTAAGGAAAAGAAAGAAAAAGGAAATAAATCTACTTTGCTCTTACCTGGAGGCCAAGGCGGGTGGATCCCTTGAGTTCAACAGTTCAAGACCAGGCTGGACAACATGGTGAAGCCCCATCTCTACTAAAAATACAAAAATTAGCTGGGTGTGGTTGTAAGCAACTATAATCCCAGCTACTTTGGAGGCTGAGACAGGAGAATTGCTTGAACCCAGGACGTGGAAGTTGCAGTGAGCTGAGATTGTGCCACTGTACTCCAGCCTGGGTGACAGAGCAAGATTTCATCTATAAAAATAAAAATAAATATAAATTCAAAAATTTTAAAATATATTTTGCTCTTACATAGCAGTTTTTTATAAAGTTTTAGTAAAGGAAGTTGAACTTGGAAGCTTACAGGATGTTTGGTTATTAGTAATTTCCCTTTTATCTGGCACTGATTTTACTAAGAAGGAGGAAGAAACAAATATCAGTTGTGTGCCAGGAACTTTGTACAAAACCATTTCCACATGCCATGTGATTAATCTTCTCCACAATTCTCTGCTTTTTACAAAGGAGGCAACTGAAGTTGAGGGAGTTAAATAACTTGCCCATAATCACTCAATTAGTAAGTAGCAAACCTGAGATTAAAATTCAGATTTGTCTAGCTTCAAAGGATGCCTTTTTCATGACCACTCTTATTACACTTAATTTAGACATTTTAATCATAATCACTTAGTGTTACCTTGAAAGTGGTTTTTTGGCTAAGAAATGTACTGCCTTTTATATGTAAAAAGACCTCCAAATTGACTCTGGGTAGGATATGTGACTGAATGGTTTTGTCTATGGTCTTGAGACTCATTAAGAAATAGGAGCTGGGCCCAGCGCTGTAGCTCATGCCAGTATCCCAGCACTTTGGGAGGCTGAGGTGGGTGGATCACCTGAGGTCAGGAGTTTGAGACCACCCTGGCCAATATAGCGAAACCCCATCTCTACTAAAAATACAAAAATTAGCCAGGCATGGTGGCAGGCACCGGTAATCCCAGCTCCTCAAGAGGCTGAGGCAGGCGAATTGCTTGAGCCCAGGAGGTGGAAGTTGCAGTGAGCAGAGATTGTGCCATTGCACTCCAGCCTGGGTGACAAGAGCAAAATTCCATCTAAAAAAAAAAAAAATAGGAGCTAACATCACAATCGAGCCTCCAATCACATGCTCCTGTAGGTTTCCTGAAGGTTTTCTTGCTGTATTCTGTGCTGTTTCTTCTGGAGTTTGCAACAGTCCTGGAATTAGTCTGTTGGCTGTACCTTGTGACTGATACCACGAATTCTCAACCTTCCCATTCCCAGTTTCTGCTCCACTGGAGAATTTCGACAGCCTGGTAACTGTATTCTCTGCCTCTGCCCCTTGTCTTTTGAGAAACTCCCCTCCTCCCATCATTTTATACTCACATCGTCTCGTAAGCAAATAGAAAGCTCTCTTTAGAAAATGCTTTTCTAAGCATTCTCATTGGCAAAAAGTACAGGGAATTAGAGTAAATATAAGATATAAACTATTTTAAAAACATAATATACGTTTATCATTCCAATGGACCCCCCCAAATGATGGGTGTTTTCTTAATTCCTCAGCTCTAAATGAAGGTTTTGTCAATCTCTACACTACAGCCTTATTACAGCTTCACTTGGTATTTGAGTCCCTCTCTAAACTGGTTGCCATCTATCTTTTTAACCTTTATTTTCCCATCATTGTGTATGGTTGTGCCTGTTCCTCAGCCAAATCAGGTAGCTCATATTGTCAGAATATATCACACAAACCTGTTTGTGCTGTTTTCTTTGCCCAGAACAATACATGGTTTCCATTTGTCAAAATTCTATTCAGCTGTCAAGGTCCATTTCAAAATCCTATAAAAACTTTTTTGTGGTAGCATAAAATGTTGACATCCAAGCATATCCAGTCCTTCTTGAGGTGGAAATCATGATGAATTACGAGTGGGGAGATGAGGTTTTTCTGTGGGTTGGCCTCTGTGTGACTCTGGAAAAGTCGTGTTTTCAGGCCTGTTTCCTTGTTTCTCAATGATCCCACTTAGAAAAAAACTAAGCAGATTCCCGTCTTTGAGACCCTCGCAACTCTCTGCACCCCCCATTTCTTGTTACCTGTATGCTGGTTTGCATTGTAGTTACTTACTTTCTTATATTTATTTGTGTATTAGGTGACAAAATGGCTGGACAGTGCCCTTATTTGGCCACGCACATGTAGCACCCTGCATAGGATTGCATACAGTAGCTGCCATTAATATTTGTTGAATGCCTATTTATTTAGGTTGTACTCACTACAAGGTCTGTTTAAAACACCGAGAGAGAGCACTCAGCTAGCTTACTGCTTTCTGACTCGTTTCTTTAGACTGGTGCTCCTAAGAACTTGAGATTTACTTTCTGTTCCTTCCCCGTAATCACAGAGGAAGCTATCTTCTAATATCTTTTCCAGAAGGCACAATGCAAAGATAAAAGTGAACATCATTATTCATAATCAGGTTTTTGAGAGAGTAGAGAATGCTAACAAGATTAATGTCTCAAAAAGAACATCTCATAGTAAAATAATTTGGAGCCCTGTTTGGGACATTCTTGAAGAAAAAAGAACTTCTTTATTGACCCAATAAATTAGTTTATTTGGGATATTTGGGTATAGTTAGGAAAGAAGGAAACAAATTATTTTCAGTCCTTATCTTTTGGAGATTCACTGTGAAATATTT